AATAATTATTTTAATTTCTTCATTTTACATTTCCAAACATAAAACAATATCATTTTTTAAATTTACTTTCTCTCAAAATCAACCACAAAGTATGTGAACATTCATCTCACCTTTTTAAATCATGCTACTGTATTAAATACTAGCTGGAGTACCTGTTCTCTGGACGGAAGTTATGTAAATTCATGATTAATGAAAGGTTATCTTAGGACATGAAAAATCGCTTCCCCCTTTATATTCAACTGTAAAAAACGCCCATACAAACGGCAAAACACAAAATGTGAAACCGCTAGTTTCTATGTATATCCACATGGACCCAACAAACCTTCTTGCAAAATTTGGTGAAGATCCATCCATTGGATATGAGGTAATTGTAAAAAGACAGAAAACGGAAAATTTGTATGTATCTTCTCACGGATCCAATGAACCTCCATCCGCAGGGGGCGAAGTTTGTTTGTCTGAAGTTAAGCACAAAGCTACACAATGGGCTATCTGTGCTCTGCCCATCACGGGTATCGAAACCAGGTTTCTAACGTTGTAAGTCCGCAGACATACCGCTGTACCATTGGGGGGGGGGGGTGTTGGGGGCGAAGTAGTGGTAAAATATGCAAAAACTGCAAAACTGAAAATTTGTATGTACCCCCCGCATGGACCTAATGAACGTCCATACCAATTTTGGTGAAGATCCATCCACACCTTGCTAAGTAGTTACATGGACAGACAACAGACAGTACTATTATATTTATATATATTACAAGATGTGTCTTTTGTTAAATGTTTATACTGACATTACTGTCTCCCATCCCAACTGTGCTTCTTTAAGAAACAATTACCGTCATAGATCAGGAATAAATAAACTAGGTCTAAGTCACGTAAAAATAAAAATCACAGGCATTTACTTAACGTTACTTCGCCTTGTAATCAATGCCTAGGGTTAAACAAAACAACCTTTACCTGCGTAAAGACACATTGAGCTTATTACATTCCCTCAAAAAACTCACCTGAATAATATTAATATTCACATACGTAAAAACCTAATTCAGCGAAATGTACGAAACCTTTTTTTTTTATAACAAAAATGTATAAAATAAAACAATCACTAAATTAAGATTTTAACTTAACGGTTGCTGCTACGGTTCAAAGGCTTTACTAACAATGAAGACTCCAATCGAACAGTAGAGTTTTATTGAATCAGAAAAACCCGTTGCCCGTGAAACGCACGATTGTTGCTTAAACTCAGTATTAGATAATATAAGTTTGAAACAGTAAAAGTTGTTTGAATAATACTTTGATGATGGTGTCGTGGAATATAACGTATAAACAATTTAAAATCGTTAATATATATATATGTACTAAGAATTTGGATTTTTTTGGACTCTGTGGTTTATGCCATCTTGGATTTCGGTTCGGCGCAGTTTCAAGATTGCAGAAATCTTACGAAAATTATTATTTTCAAATTCATCACGTTGAATTCATATATCTTACAAGGATTATATAAACATTTTTTGTAGCAGTGACTACCCTAAAGTTAGTTTCTATAAAAAGAGTCGAAATCTCAACAAAACCTCAGCATAATGCTGAAAATCGTCTGCAAAGTGCATTGTTATTTGTTTAAAAGCTGGACAAAGTTCTTTCAAGTTTAACTGAATAACTTAAGCCTAAAGTTATACGTCGCTGGACTGGTTTAGGTAAATTCACTGTTTGTAGTTTTGAACACAGAGTTTTGTTTTATTTGTTAGCGTCGCGTGTGCAAGGTAGCTAATATTATTTTTTAAGTCAGCCTTTCCTAATTAGACATCATTGCGGACTGGGGCATACAATAAGCCTAAATTAATTATTTTTAACCACTCTCTTGACCACGAAGTACAAGTTGTTAGTGGTCTAAGACGTAGGCCCTATCAACTTGCTCCTTAAGAAACGAAAAATCGGCTAATTATAGGCTTATGGCGGTACAACCGATAAAATAGCATATATATATACGCACATTATTATCAGAGACATTATTATTTATAAGGCATTTTTTCCCGATTCCTTCTAAAATTAAGCAAAACCTTATTTCTAAAGTTTTTATATGTAAAAAATGGTATCTTACATCTGGCAACAGCAATTAGAATTAATAATTAACCTGTGTCTCAAAAACCACGAACCATCCATATAGTACACGTAAAATTTAAATTAACGAAGGTAACTTAATGCTGCGACAAAGCTGATATACAGTATATATCAGCGTTTTATATATATATATATACGCAAAAAACGTATATACGTTTTTTGCTTTAGTTTAGTTAGGACTAAAATTTATCGTATTTAATACCAACAATAAATAAATCTATAATGTTATTTTACGACCTAACGTTAGATCTTTTTAAAAACATTGATAAGCTTTTAATATATTGTTGTACAAAATTTCTGCTAAAGTATATTTACATCCGTTGAAATAAAGTGCGCTCATGCGCATTTAGATAGTAAGGTGTGCGCGCATTTTCAAGACAGACAAAAACTGAGTAACATCATAATAAATTTCTTCCCGTCACTGAATATTCTCGCCCTTTCAGCCATAAGGGCGTTATAAGTTACGGTCAATTCTACTTTTCGTTGGTAAAGTGTAGTCCAAGAGTTGGCGGTTGGTGGTGTTTACTAGCTCCCTTTCCTATAGTCTATTACTTCTGAGTTAGGGACGGCTAGTGCAGATAACCCTCGAGTAGTTTTGCACGAAATTCAATAAACAAACACATTTTTGTTTGCTGCCTTTCAAATAAAATAAATCTGGTAAACTTTTAATGTATTAAAGAAAGTGAACTTCTGTCCATAGCCGTCCTTATTTTGGGCTGTTTGACTAGAGGAAAAGCAGCTATCCAATAACACATACTACCAATTCTTGAGGTACTTTTGTCTGATCGAATAGTGGGATCTGACTGGACTAGCGGAGAAGCAGCTATCCAATAGCACATACTACCAATTCTTGAGGTACTTTTGTCTGATCGAATAGTGGGATCTGACTAGACTAGAGGAGAAGCAGCTATCCAATAGCACATACTACCAATTCTTGAGGTACTTTTGTCTGGTCGAATAGTGGGATCTGACTAGACTAGAAGAGAAGCAGCTATTCAATAGCTAATACTACCAATTCTTGAGGTAATTTTGTCTTGTCGAATAGTGGGATCTGACTGGACTAGAGGAGAAGCAGCTATCCAATAGCACATACTACCAATTCTTGAGGTACTTTTGTCT